CGAGTTACAGCTGCGGGCCAGTCCTCTTTGCCTCTCAGTAGCATAGCACAGATATATAGGTGTGAAAATCTCCTTCTAGGCTGGAATGGTTCGTGAAGTTGCCTCTGTCTCCACATAAATTATATAGTTCATTGAGGCTGTCTGTCTTTATCCTCAGAGCCTATCCTAAAACAGTGCCTAGCATACAATAGACCTACAACCTGTATTTGATACAGGGATGAGAACATGATACAAGAATCCTTTAAATGACTCAAGGGCTAAGAAGTCTTCATTTTTGTAAATCCTGAAACTCTTGGGAATGCTTTTGTGAACTCATATCTATCATCAAACCCTGTGAAACCGGACTGACGAATGTCAAGTGAAATGTGAATTACCAGGCCAGAGACAGATCCCTGGGCAAGCAGTGACCAAGGAACGCTGGACTTCAGATGGCAACTCTACCTAAAATGTACCACTAGATGGCAGCCGCACCCCAGGAGCGGGCCACCTCCTCCCTGGGCCACGCCACACCCCAGACTACTCGCCCCACCCAGACTCTTCCCTTTCCCGGACTCAGACCCACCTAGGGAAGAGGAGAGGTCCTGGAAGATGAGGATCGTCCTGCAAATCACCTGCTCCCTGCTGGGGGAAAAAAAAAAAAACGATATTCTGCCCTCCAGCCCCTCGGCTTCCTTTCTTGGAAACTCTACGGCCTCTTCCTTCTTCCTGTCCCAGCCCCGCTCCCCCGCCCCTGTTGTGAATCTCTGTTACCGACCTAGGGCTCCTGTTCCCCAGGCCGGGCCTGCAGGCTGCAGTCTCCCACCGCCAGTTCAGTTAATCAGAAGAGGAAGGGGTCGGAGGGTGGAGAAGGGAGGGAAGGCAATACAGGGACCGAAAATAATCAAGACATGTTATACACACGCACCAGTTCCCCAAAACGAACATAGCTCTTTCGTACACAAACATACACTGCTTTTTTTTTAAGCTTATAAGGTCAAAAAAGCAAAAGAACAAAGTACTAATGAAGAAAAGGGACTGTGTCCTTACCCCCTAGGAAAGATGACGCCTTGACAAGTGCCAGGGGCGTGAGGGACAGAACCTCAGAAGAGGGCGGGGTGGGAGCTGGGACTGGCTCTGAGTCTATTTTCCAAGCGCCTTGGTTCTTTTCTCTGCATGTTTAAAAAGATCATCAGTGGCCATGGTGGTTATTAGATTAGAGTGAAGAGCTATCAGACCGCGTGGAGAACAGGCACTCCACCCAGCATCTCCTTCCTAGCCTTGCTTGCTGCACAACCAAAGCTCACAGCTGCCTCCACCTCCCCACACCCACCCCCCGCCTGCTCCACCTCCCTCAACACTGCAGCACCCCACACGCACCGGCCACCCCCTCTTGCTAACACCAGATGCCAGCCCTAGTTACAGCCCCCTCCCCCTGTGGGCTGGCATCTGCGGGGAAAGCCAGGGTCCTACAGGAACTCCCACTCAGGGCAGCCTCCTCTCCACAGAGGATGCAGAGTTCATCCGAGAGTTCCCAGCTGTAACCCCTGCCTTGATGTGAGAGGCACGAAAAAGGGAGGATAGACCTGATCCCTGCTTTCCGGTCTTGGGTCTTGGTGATCTGAGCTTGTACCATATCAGAGAAGATATAACATGCAGCCCTGCCTGTGTCACGGGGCCGCTGTGAGGACCCAGCGGGGTAGAGCCAAGAGCTCACCGTACATGCAAGGGCAAGTACCTGCTGAATAATCACAGGGCCGTGTGCTCGCCATGGACGGCACACCTTTTCTGTAACAAGTGTGCCAGGACCCACCCCGTGGTGAAAATGGAGACACAGACTGTGCAAAATGGAGGAAAATGCCAAGTGACACACGAGAGGGCAAGCAGCCAGATGGAGAATGCCAGGGAAACAAAGTCCGCAAGGGAAGGAGTACGCCAACTAGCGTCCCTGGACCCTCCTACCAGGTGTACGTATCTGAAAACATCATGGTGTCCACAGTAAATATATATGATTTCTGTCAATTCAAAACTAAATAGTTTTTAAAAATCTAGAGTGTGGGAAGTTTCCTAACTCAAAAGGCTGAGTATCTCTCATAAATGAATGATATGAGCAACTGACTCATATCATTGTTTCTAGGGAGGAAAAATTATCTTGATGAACCTCCAAGTATCCACAGCCCAGCTTCAAAGATGATCAATACCCATCCTGTTCATTTACCTCCCTCCTGGGAAGGAACTAACTCCTACAGGTGGGAAGCAAGGTAGGAGATTTAGCCACAAGAGCAACGGCGAGGGGTGTTTAGGTCCTGCTTTGAGGAACCTGCGTATTACAAGGTGGTGCTGAGATAGTCAGGGACATCTGAATAGGGAAAGTGTATCACCATGAAGGAAGGTTTACATTTCACATATGATTACAACAGAATTGTGGTTATTGTTAGAGATATCCATCACTACTTGCAAGGATTTTACTGAACAGGTGTCTGGGGTTTGCTTTGAAAATACTCCAAAAAAAAGCATAAGAGGGAGGTAAATGAACCAGAACAAATATTGATCATCTTTGAAGCTGGACTGTGGATACTTGGAGGTTCATCAAGATAACTTTTCCTCCCTACTTTCGTACACATTTAAAATGTTCCATATTAAAAAAATGTATTGACACTTGAGAGACTAGACTGACAGGGAGATGGAAAAAGGCAATCAACAAATATAAAAGATCAACAGGGCAGCTACGGAGGTACAGAGGAGGAAGGCCACATAGCAGAAAAGCCAGCCTCACTGAGTTAGCTAAATACAGACCGGCAGAAAGAAGATCACAGAAAGAACAAATCCATGTGCAGAAGCACAGAAGCACCAAATGGCAACCACTGCCCAAAAGTTTTTACTAGGACAACTAACTGATGCTGGTTTGCTTGGAACTTTCCCAGTGTGGCGCTGGAATTCCCACCTCTTGGAAAATCCGTCAGTCCTCGGCAGACCTGACAGCTGACCACCCTCCCTGCTATATGGAGTGGGATGTGCTATTCATCTGGTCAGGTCTGCAGAGTTGAGCTTCAGTAGCTAGAATCTACAGCACCAGGAATTAGGGCACTCTGAGTAAGAGGCCAAGGGGGCGCTCAGCTATACCCGTATTTTCTGTTCCCTAAATGCCACACTTCAGCAGCCAGCTCCTCATCCTAGAGCACTTGAAGTCTAGTGCCCAAGGGATAAACTGGATTCTCACCTCTCCTCTGATCTGCTAGCTTCAGACAGCACCGTTTCTATCCTGGAATTTTCTCTTCTGACCCCAAGTCCTGCTAATTTACTCATAGATGTACATATATATTTATATTATGTATATGTATGTTTTCTTATATTTATCAGTACTATCAGCATTTTCTCATTCAGTCCTTACAGAACTCTATGTCATAGAATTTATTAAAGCTCAGAGAAATAATTTGTACATGGCTAATATATAGACAGCAATATACCTCACAAACTTCCCTTATAGGGTTGTGCAGGCAATAAGTGAATTATTATACAGATAAAGTGCTTAGAATGGTGCCTGACATAGAGGAAGTGATCAATAAGATCTTACTGATGGCCAGTAGTATACTACGCTGCCACACCCTGCAGAGGGTGGGAGAAAGCAAAATGTCTGAATTTTGAGAAAGCAATGTTCTGATCATATGCATTGCAAAATAAGGCACTCCTTTGAACTCAAGACCTTTGGCTTAATAAACTGATCTGAGCATAGAGTCAGAGGAACCTACAGAAGACGGAGTAACATCTCCAGGAGCTCTCAAAACAAGTTGTCTGAGGCACTCAAGGTTATGCGATCCTCCTCATCTGTATTTGAACAGTGATACTCATCTTTCACAGAGGACAGAGGTGCCTGTCCAGCTTGATCCTCTCTCAGCAGCCCCAGGGACTGGCTTGCCTTCAAAGCTCCCTGCTTCTCCAGCCATTACTTGCACAATTTCTGCAGAGCCTTTCCAGTCTGAGAATTTCTTGTTCATTGCACAGGTCAAAAAAAAACAGAAAAATCAAGATGCCAAAGCAGAAGAATCACACCTACTTGACTTTCAGCTTCCGGAACACACTTCAGGGAGAGCCTTGTCACAGACCACAGAAGAAATCCAAAGTACCGTTACCAGTAGCATGGACCTTTGTGCATCCCTCTGCCCTGAAGAGCAAGGGCACCTCACATTCACAAGTTAACACAAAAGAGGGCACAGCTAGTCTGACTATCAGAATCATAGACACTGCTGTTGACCTCAGCACATCCACCATCATGTGGAGAACTGGCAACCCAGCAGCTCACTCCCAACTTTCCCAAGCACGGTCCAACAAAGGTATGCAAAGTGGAAATCTTTTCTCCTGCACTTGCAGTGATTTCCATCCTTCCCATCACTGTCATAGCAGGCATTGCATTTAAAGCAATAGGGACACAACTGGGAAAGCCATGGAAAATAAAACGTGCTGCTTGGCCCCAGCTCAGAGATGTCTGGGCCTAAGGGTGAGGGTGGTTTCATGGTGGGCTCTGGCATTTTGTATACAGGGTGCCCACCACAAGCCCTGGGATGTTCCCAGCGGTGCTGCTGCCATCTTGGAACTAAGGCCATTCCCTAAGTCGGCTTCTGCCCTCTGCAACATCCCAGCAAATAGAGCTCCCAGGTCCCATAGTCAAATCTGCACTGACCACAGCTGGCAGAGCATCTGTGTCAGTTGCAAGCTGTAATCCACCATCACCACCACACATCTGTCTCCTGCGGCCCCAAACGCCAGGTCTTCTGATTTCTGAGGCTGGGTCCAGAGGAGCCACCTTGTCCCGGCTCTCCCAACTGAATGCACTCCTCCACCAAAGCTCAAAGACAGGCTGCAGAGAAGCTTCATGAATTTTTCACAAGATTCATCTAATAGTGGCTGAGCAGAGCTGAGAAAGCCCCAGTCAAGTGCCTGTGCCAGCAGCTTGCAAAGAGTTAACCCATTAGGCCACATCCTGGTGAGCTCATCCCGGCCGGAGCCTGCTTGCTTGGTTGCTGGGATCTGCAGCACAGCGACTTCTGGATGTAGCCAGGGTGGCTTTCCCCTGCTGGGATGAAGGACTTGGGCTGAAACAAGGCACTGGCTTCCTCGATGTATGAACACCACGCAAGTCCCAGGACCCCACTCCACCCCTGGGATACTAAGGACAGTAAGTAAAGAGGGGAACATTCCCCTCTGTCCTTCCTGCCCTCTCCCTGGAGGAAAGAGCTGGTTTTAATTTTGCTTTGGAGTGTGTTGAGTCTTTGAACTGGAGTTGGAAAGTAAATGTGAATGATCTGGGGTTGGGGCGCATAAGCTCAGCTGCCAGGAGGCTGGCAGGGCGGAGGGGACTGTTCCCTTGCCTGCTAAGGGTCGGGGGTCAGTGGTGGACAAGGAGAAGTGCATGGGGTGTCCGTAGCTGTGCACTGAGATGAAGAGAATATGTGTACTGAGGGCTGATTCACCCAGTGTACACAACTAGGCCTTCCACCCTCACAGACCAGGGGCAGACACGGTGAGCGGGAATCCCCTGCCTGAACCTACATGGAGGCAGAGAGGAAAGGCCAGACAGTGCCAAGCAAGGCCACCTGCTTTCAGCTGCTCTCAGATGCAGCCTGTCTTCCTGGGCATCCCATATCCGCTCGCAGCAGCTTCACACCAATCCCTCCTCCCTGCAGGTGTGTCCAGTGCCCCAAGCAGGTGCCAGGAAAACAAGGTGGAGCACAGCGGCTGGGGCGGTCTCCATCTCAGGAAGAGAAAACAGGGCACGCACATGAAAACATAGACAAACCCATACTTGGTCAGGCCGATGTGGGCTGTAGGGACCCCGTCTTTGAGTAAAGCTAGACATGAACACACTCAGAGCTGTGTCTCCAGAACTGCTTTTCTCCCCTGTTGGTCAGGTGCTGGCGGTGTGTCCTGAAGAGGGGAGCGGCACCCTCCAGACTGACTATGACCTTAGGGACAGCTCCCTTCCTAGAAGTGCTGTGAGCGGGGGACAGATGGGAGGCCCTGGCCATGTTGACAGAGCGTAGATTCCAAAGCTGTCTGGCCTCTACTTTACCAGCCAAGGCACAGGCCCTACTCACCTTATCAGAGGAGGAGCTATCACCAGCTCACATCCTGGTAAGGGGAGGGGAGGACAGTGCCGCAAAAGAAGGTGAAGACCCTCGGGGTGGCCACTGATGAGCTGGAGCTGGGTGGGGCAGGTGGAGACCCCATGGGTGAAGAGAAGACCCTCTTCTTATCACTACCCCGGCTCCTGCTCAGGAGTAAGCAATGCCCTCCCACCACCTCCATCCTGCAGCCGGCCCCTCCCTCTCTCCACCGCTGTGCTGGCTGCTCTGCTTCCCCACTTTGAGGTCACCTGTGCCCTGTCCTCTGCCTGGTAACTCCCAGAATAGCCCAACTCCTATCAGAATTCTTGGTGGAGAGGGGCCAGGGGGAGAAACAAGAAGAGCCAGATAATTGCAGGCCCAAGTGCGTCCATCCAGCTTGTCCCTCTATGGTATCACGGTTGTTAGAGGCGTCACAGGACGTCCAATCCAATCTGAATTTCTAAGAAATAAAGAATTCAGCTTTTGGCGTATGTATGCCCCATGCTGTGTTGGAACATTCTTATACTTAAAAAAGCTTCTGTTGTTTATTCGAAACTCAAATTCAACCAGACATCTTGTAATTATATTTGCTAAATCTGGCAACACCGCCTAACGCTGACCATGTTTCAGCACACTCAAAGGACAGCCTTGGGAAGGGCTGAGGAGTTAGCTCTAAAGCAGAGATGAGTAGCTAGAGGGGAGGTAGGATGTTAGTGAAGGAAGACAAAGAGGCAGGGCTTCACCCCAGAGACAGTGTGAGCCATTATATAAAAGACTGGGATTTGGGGTCACGCAGCTCTGGGCCTCAGTTTCCTTATCTGTACTATGGGAATATTACTGATAGTACTGACCTCATAGCACCATGCGGACTCAAAACGATGCTCCACTAAAGAAGCAGCACATACCAGGGCACCTTATGCTTTCCTAGCGGGATGATGACAGCGGTGGCTTTGTGGCCACTCTGTCCAAGGGCTCTTCACTCCTCCCCCATCCACAGTCCCAGGCTTGCCATCCCTTCACCCACAGCAGCTGCCACTGAAGTTCTGTTTACTGTCTACATCCCAGTTGGAATTTCCTCTTTTCTCAATTTGAAATGAAAATCCAAATTTCCTCCAAGGAGGAGCAGGATAGACTTGGATCTGGACTCTGGAGCCAGACAAGCTCAAAACTCAAATTCCAATCTTGTCTCTCTGTTTACTGGTGCATGACCTTGAGGAAATTATTTAAACTTCTCTGAGCCTCAGTTTCCTCATCTAAAAAATGGGCCAACAGTTGCACCTTCTTCAGTGATTGTCAGGAGGAGTCAGTGAGACAGTGCAGATGAAGTGCTTAGCTGGCTCCCAGCACCCAGGGAAAGCTGGGTAAGTGGCAGTTACACTGTGTGACATTGCATCTGCTTTGGAGAGGCAACAGCCTCGGAGTCCTCAGAGACTGTGAAAACTTTGGCCCACAGAAGATAACCAGTCTTGATGGAGTAAGCAGTGACTCAGAGGCCAAGAAAGAGCAGGGAGCAAAGTGTGTGCACCTTTCCCAGTATGGCGGCATCTTGTGCCCCTCCCCCACCATACCAGAGCTGTCCTTCCTACCTTGCTCTACGACCAGAGGGGATTGCTTACAACAATCAGATGGGAAGATGCCGGAAGGGTGACCCCGCACTACAGTGTCAGCCGGGTTCTAACCCTCTGTAGCCCGAACCCAAACCTGGAAAGGAAGCAAATTCTGAGTAAACTGCTTTGCAAGCTACCTGCAAATCCCTCTCTCTCTTCTACCCAACATAATTTCTGTATTTAATCAGGCATATAACAACTGTTCACGGAGGCCTGAGCCTCAAGCAAAGTGCTGGGTGACTGCTGGGGCCACAGGAAGCTGAAGGAAATCCAGCCCCAGCCCTTGAAGGACTCTGTGGGGTGGAGGCAGAAAGGGTTTCCAGAATTCTAAGTCCAGACACATATCCGGTCATCTTCAGGGGCAACCGGAAGGCACAGTTCCACCCACCCAGGAAATCCCCCACGTCTTCTGGTTTGTTCCTGCTCACCTCGACCTCTGGGTCCAAGCTTTACAACCGTAATTACTACTTAGCTGGTTCTAGAACACCATATAATATATAGTCTTTTATATCTGATTTCTTTCCAACATGCCTGTGAATTTCATTTATGCTCTTGTTTATATCAAAGATTAGTTCTTTTTTGCTTAGTCAAATTCTGATGTGTGAATATACACCCACTTCTTTCCTTTCTTCTATTGGTGGATATTTGGATTCAACTTCTTGCCTAGTATAAATAAAATTCCTATGACTATTTTAAATGCATTTTTATTAGTATATATTCTGAGATATATATGTATGTTCATTGTAGGGTGTTGGTACATATACGTATCACATCTTGACCGTTTTTACTGTGGCTTCTTCTTTCCCTCTTATCTCCCCTCGTGCCCACACCCCGTCCCCTTTCCACAGACTCTACCTTTCTATTTTCTGTTATTTTTTAGTTTGTTCTTTCAATTGCCTATACTTTGGCTTTCTCAAATAAGAGTAACCATGCCATATTTAACCTTCTGTTTCCTATTTATTTCACTTAGCATTATGGTCCAAAAGCACATCCAATTTCCTATAAATGCCTCAAATTTACCCTTCAGTATGGCTGAGTTGTACTGTATTGTGTATATACACTACATTCTTTATTCAGCAGTGGATGGGCAGATGGACTGCTCCCAAGATTTAACTATTTCGAGTTGTGTTCTATGAATATTCGTAAGTCTTTTTGTGGAGATTTGTTTTCACTTCTATTGGACAAATAAATATTGAGGAATAGAATTCCTCCATCAAAGGATAGGTGTATGGTTAACTTTATAAGAAGTTACCAACTTTCATGCTTACAGAGCTCTGGTTGGTCCACATTCTCACCCAAATGGTGTATTGTGGGATTTTAAATGTTTAGCCATTCTAGGAAGTCTGTGGCGATATCTCCTTGTGAGTTTAATCTCTATTGTCCTGCCAAATATCAACATCAAGCAGTTTTTCATGGGCTTCTTATTCATTTGTGATCTGGTAGTGAGCTATTTAAATATTTTACCTATCCTTTAAATAGACTTCTTGCCTTATTCATTAACTGTAGTGAAAGATACATATTGTATGAATATTTTCTCCCATCAAGACATTGCATTTGATTTCCTTCCCAATATCTTTTAATGAGCAGACATTTTATATTTCAATAAAATCTAATTTATTGATATTCTCTGTCCTAAGAAATCTTTGCCTGCTTCCAGGTTACAAAAATTTCCCCTATTATTTCTCCAAAAGCTTTATAGTTTTAACTTTCTCATTCCACTTAGGTCTATGATTCATCTCTGATTAATTTTTGTTGATGGTGTGAAGTGGAGTCAAGTTTCATTTTTTTTTTCCCCATGTGACTATCGAGTTGTTCCAGTGCCATTAGCTGAAATGCCAGCCTTTTCCCTGCTGAATTCTTTTGATGCATGTGTTGAAAATCAATTGTCCTCTGTTTTTTCCACCTTCCTCCCTTCCTTTTTCTTGCTTGGTGTCTCTAACCTGACCACATAAGAATAAACTCTTCCTTCAACTACTTGGGGCCCAAGTTACAAAGACAAGTCTCATCACTACAGGATTCTGAGTGTCTAGGGTGAAACCCCAAATCCTCTCACATTCAAACCAAGTCCAAGAGTTATGAATCCCCTTCACCCAGATTCTGCCGCTGAAGCAAATCCTACTGCACACTCCTAGGGGAACCAGCATTCCTTGAGATTTCAATTTATCTAAGACAGAGGAGGCTTGGATGCCTCAAAAACATGCCTGAGAGATCTTCCACCTACCAGGGGGCTGCTGATATTTATTCCCTTAGAAATCAACACTTCCACCTTTTCTTATAATCATGACATTGCTGACTAATGCCAAGACATGAGCACCTCTGACGGTGTGTTCTTTCAGACCACACATGTATCCTTATTACCCTGAATGCAGCTCCCCTTCGACCTGGACCTTACTTTTGAGACTACAACATTAAGATTGCAAAAAACAGGGACTATCAAAAAGGGTACAAGTACTCCCCTTTATTCT